GTTGAAATCTTTGTGAGAAGCTGACTTGAGATTTGTCAGGGACAAGGACTAGATATTTTAATTCATTCATTCAATAAATATCTGTGGAGCACCTACTATGTTTCTACTGTGTTCTAGGCACTGGAGATACTGCTGTGAACAAAACTGCAAAAAATCCTCACGGAGCTTACATCTAATGGTGAGAGGCAGATAATAAACAAGATAAATACATAAAATAAATAGTATGTAAGATAGTGGAAAGTGCTGAAAAGCAACAGGAAGTGTGTGTGTGTGTGTATGTGTGTAGTGAAGTCCAAGATCTAATTTTACACAGGGAGATTTTGCCCACCTATAATCCCTAATTCTTGAACCGTCATCTATTCCCAGAGGCCCCACTGGGCTGAGAAAGTACACAGCATTCTGGGAAGAGTAGGAGCATAGAGCTGGGTGGTCCTGGAGTCTTATTCTTGCACAGCTACTATTGAGCTACAATTGTAGCTATTGTACTACTGTAGCTACTATTGTTAGTAAAGCCAGTTAACCTTTTTGAGCTCAAAAAGATATGCCCCCCAGGGCTCCTGTGCAAATTAAATGATAAAATGTATGTGAAATGTATAGAATAGAACCTTATGTTCATGCCCCACTCAAGGCAGTAAGGGAGGGGTGCTCCCTGAAGTTTCAATTACTATCAGTACACAGCTTCTCTGGGGCAAATTCTGCCCCTACACAGTTTCCAAAGAGGCTGACTGGGCTAAGCTGGGCTGGGCATGAAGAGGCAAAGCCCAGCTCTTCGATGAACCCTTAAGACACAGCCACAAACAATCCAAAGCTTTCACTGTCAGCCTCAGGGGGCACATGGCCTCACAGGATTCAGGTGGAAATGGAGGCTCAGGGCATGTGGAGCCTTCCCACTGCAAAGCCATCAAAAGAAGTTTTTATTCATTTATTTTTTTATTGTGATTTGGGTGAAAGTTTACAGAGCAAATTCACTTTCCATACAGCAGCTCACATACATTTTGTCTCATGAGATTGACTACAATTTCCCATAAGGCAACAGCTCCCCTCCCACTTCCTCCCCATAGTGACCTCTTCCCTGTGTCCTTCCCTCCATGCACCCCTGCTCCCTGAGCTGTCTCCCTGTGCATACACAGCCCTTCTATTCTCCCATGATTGTTCTCTCCAAGGAGTGTATGTACTTAATGTAAATGTTCAGCTCATATGCCTGTCTCATCAAAGGAAGTTTTGCATGCTGTTATATTGCTATGATGCTGACCAGGTTTCAGTAGAGCTTCCAGACTAAGATATACTAGGATGAAAGGCATGAGAGGCCATCTAAGATACAACTATTGGTTTCTATTCATCTGGAGCGAAAGAGAAGAAGGAAACCAAAAACTCAAAAAAAAAAAAAAAATGTAGTCTACAGAAATAGGATAGTGACCAGCTACCAGGGACCATTCAGACCAGGTACACAATAGATAGTCCAGAATGGATAAAAATTGTAGAACAAAATTCTAATTCTTGGGGAAAAAAAAAAAAAAGTCAGACGGTAGAGACTAGAGGAACCCCTGAGACTATTACTCTGAGATAACTTTTGAACTGAAGCTACTCTGGGAGGTCATCTTTCAGGTAAATAACAGATTGGCTCATGAAATAAACAATGCAACATGAATCCTGTGCTCTTAAAAATAAAAAACTCATCATCTATGAGACTAAATGGTCAACATATACCCTAAAGTACAGATGGGAAATTGTGTGTATGGGGCACGGAAGTTAGATTAATGGAAGCAGGATAACCAGAACAGAAATACAGAGAATGTTGACATAATGTAGAAAATGTAACTGATGTCATTGAATAATGTGGCTAGAAATTGTTAAATGGGAACTTAATTTGCTATGTAAACTTTCACCAAAAATTCAATATTTATCCCCAGAAAAAGAAGGCAGACCTGGTGGTCTACTTCTGAACATTTTCAGGCATAATTTCTCACACAGATATTCATTCAAAAAGTATTTATTATGGGTCCACATATGCCATGCACTGTCCTGGACACACCAGGGGTGGGGATGGTGCAGTGGTTAAGTACTTAGCTGTTCACTTAAAGGTCAATGGTTTGAACCCACCAGTTGTTTTGCAGGCAAAAGATGTGGCAGTCTGCTTCAGTAAAGATTACAGCCTTGGAAACCCGAAGGGGCCATTCTACTTTTCTATTTTGTCCAGTAGGACAATTCCTGAGTTGAAATTGACTTGACAGCAATGATTGTTCCCCCCCCCCCCACTTTTGGGCACTGGGGACACACAGGGAAGAAAACAAAGTCTTTGCTGCCCAGGAACGCAAAATATGATGCAAAGGGAAAGTAAACAAGAGAACAAACAGGTCATTTCAGATGGTGAGAAGAGCTATGAAGGAAGCAGACTGGGGTTATGTTTGGGATAGACTGCCTGGGGGGTACTATAGATGGGGTTTTGGAATGTAGGGAGAAGGCATCTGAGAAAAGCTCAGGACCAAAGGAGGGTGGCCACATGCAGAGCCACCACGGAAGGTGTTCCAGGCTGAAGAGGTAGCAGATGCTAAAACCACTACATGGAAAAGACCTTAGCTGTTGTCGTGAGAACATGGAAAGCCAGAGGGAGAGTAGTAGGCAGAGAGGCAGAGTGGAGCCCACTTCTGCCAATGGAGACCCATGAGCTTCAGAGAAGAAATGTAATTCTTGTAGTGAAGTGACTAGAAGGTGCATAAAATAGTGCTATGTGCATGTTAGCAGTGGTAGATGACTGTAAAAATGGAAGCGAAGCTGCTCTTACATCAGAAGGCTATTATCAAGACACATGATATAATGTTTTCATTTTCCAAGTACTTTCAATAGTGCTTGGCACATATGCAGAGTTCAATATGTGCTCACAATTATTGGTACTTGGCAAGGTCTAGTCTTGTGGAAGGCACTGCAGTTCAGTGGTTGAATTCTCACCTTCCATGTGGGAGACCAGGGTTTGATTCCCGGTCAATGTGCCCCATGTATGGCCACCAACCATGTCAGAGGAGGCTTGAGTGCTATGATGCTGAACAGGTTTCAGTGGAGCTTTCAGACTAAGAAGGACTAGAAAGAGAGGGATGGCAACCTACTGAAAATCAACCAGTGAACACTCTATGGGTCACAGTGGTCTGATCTACAAATGATCATGGGGATGCTGCATGATGGGACAGTGTTTCCTTCCATTGTACATGGGGTCACCATTAGTCAGGGGCTAACTCAAAGGCAAACAACATAAACAGTTTTTGTGGTGTCCTGGAGGCCCTGTAGAGGTTAGGATTATAAGTGTAAATGGAAGCCGTCAGGTGTTAAATTGCACCTTGGCTGGATATGACTTATGATTTTTAGATGATGCTGCTTGCTGGGTGAAGGATAGGTGTGTGAGTATGTAGGTACAAAGTACGTGGATAGGAGGTAGGAAAGGATGAGTGAGGGAGGGTGTGGGTTGTAGAAGTCGGCCCAACTGGGGATGCTGCTGCTTTGGATAGGGTGGGATCAGTGAAGATGAAGAGGTTGAACCTGACCTATGGTGTGTTTAGGAGGGAGACATGGGTTGTTAGCTGGCAGCTGTCTAAGATCACACCCTCCCCCACCAACTCCACCTGCCTCCTTCTCAACCACAGCACAGAGCTCTGTGACTGGAATATCATTAGAGGCCTAGAAAGTGCAGGCCAGATGAACGAATCCTGAATGTTCACTGAAAACCAGTGCAGAAAGATCTGCGTGGACTCAAAAATTCCCAACACATTGCTTTCATGCAAGCTGGCCTGTGCTACCTAAGAGTTTATGACCTGTGGTTTACATTAAAGGGTAAATTTGGATAAATAGAATAGTTGTGGATAGAAACTCATCAGGAAATAGATAATAAATAGTACCCAGAACTCTCCCAATCCTCACAATCTTTTAAACATTAAATTTTTGTACAAGCTCAATTCTTAAGCACTAAAGGGAGTGTGTGTTTCATTCTATTTTTCCCTTTTCACATACTCAGAATGTGAAGAACCACAGAAGGTAGACTGAATTCTTGGCCCCAATTCTTCACACCCGTCTTCCGTCCCAGTGGTAGGATTATACATCCACTCTGTCACAGCTTCAATGTAGACAGCATATGATTTTTTCATCCCTTAATTTTGGGTTTGGCTATCTGACTTGCATTGGCCAATGGGATGTTAGTGGAGGTGACTCAGTAGAGCCTGAGATGTGCTTGTATTTGGACTTGCCTTGTCATACCCATGAGAGGAACATGCTCTGGTTAGCCCATCAGTATTAGATGAAAGAGAACATGGACCTGAATCAAACTTGCATCCTGGAACCAAACCCAGCCAAGACCAGCTCTACACCAGCCAACCCAGAGACTGAAAAATAGATACCTTTTTTTTTTTTAATAACTGACATTGTATGTTACATAATGATAGTTGACTAATACAGATATGATAATGAATATTATTTACTCAATGCTCACGATGTGTCAAGTACTACGCTGACCATTTTACCTGCATCGTTCCATATAATCATGACTACATCCCTAAGACACAGGTTTTATCATCTCCATTTTACAGATACAACTGCAACTAAGAAGATTCAAGCAATCTGTCCATGGTCACAGCTAATATGGGAAAGAGCCAAGATTCAGGTCCAGGTTTGCCTCTGAAGCTCATGCTGTGTTTCAAACTTGCTTCTGTATGCAGCAAAAAGAACGGTAGCATGACCCTGTTCTTGAAAATGTTAGAAACATTCTATGCCCATTAGTTCCAATACCCTGAATTAGCAAAGTGCATTACCTTATTTCATTTTATTTCCTTCAAAGCACATTGCACAGCTTGGTTGTCTTTTTCAAATTATGACTAAGTTGTTCATCTAGACATGACATAGGAGATAGCCCTGTCAACAACAGTGATCAGACCTTTCAAAAGAAGACCCAATGCCACGTTTGCCTCATCACCAAACACAAGTGAATACTGCACCTGCAAGTATGTCTCATAACCACCTGTTTAACTGTGAGATATCATGTGCCGTGAGAGATGGTGTCGCTCCTGGAAGTACTCGTGGCAGATGGGGCACATGAGGGCCTCCTCTCTCTGCTTCTTAGGATGTAAGTCAGGCCCAACATTTTCCTTCTTATGGTGGGACCGCATGTGGAATACCAGGTCAGATGTCAGGCGAAAGGAGAGATTGCATTTTGCACACCAGTTCTGGGTGGACAAGCCCAAGTTGGTGAATGTGGGTGGCAAGAGGGTCAATGAGGAAGTGGAAGAGAGAGAGGAGGGTGTGGGTATCTGTGCCACCTTGTGCTTGAGCCACAGTGTGGAGGCACCCAGGAAAGCACTACAGAGTGGAACATTCTGTTGCAACAACTCTAAGTTCCAGAAATCACCCATCCAAAACTTGGCATTTGAAAATCGACCCCAATGAGACAGGTCTGTAGTGTTGAGTCCTGACAGGTCCCCTGGGGAGTCTGCAGATTGGCCTTCTGAGAAGAGAGGGGGTGGTGGTCCAAGCTTCTCTGCTGGACACTTGGTTGGTTTGCTGAAGGCGCTTCTCTGCTCGCCTTGGGCTCTGCTGGGCCACACAGAGAAGACTGTTTTGCCTGCTGGGTCCATGGGGATGTTTTGAGTCAGCTGTTGGTGGCCAGGCTGGGCTGTGGGGTCATTTTGTTCCCTCCCCTGAGAAGGATCATCCCCTAACCTCTCAAGTTGCTGCACCTCCACAAAAGCACTCTGCCTTTGCTCCCAGTGTGTTTCCCCAGGCAGTGGCTTTCCCAGTTGGAGCTTGCCTGGGGCCGTTGATAGCACCAGCTCATTATAGGCCACTTCCTGGTCCCCAATATGACCCGAGCCAGCCAGGGGGCCCAGGTGTGTGGTTTTCTCAAGCAGCACTGGCTTGCATTCCCAGCCTGCCTCGGGGTCCCTCAGACACCATCTGATCTCAGCCAGAGTATTCAGGGGAGCCTCCTTCCCAGCAGCCATCTGGATTGCAGGTCTCAGGCCAGTGAAGCAAGGTGGGATGCCCCACTGGCTGTTGGTCTTTAGAGCAGTGGGGCTCTGGAGAGTATGGCTGGACAGTTCTGTGGGATGGCCAGACCACATGGCTCTGCAGGGAGAGGAAGGAATAGGCAGTGAGAATAGCATTGTTCAGAGGCACACTACATCACCAGTCTGTGGATACCTTAGCATGCCTCACTCCAAGCTATTCTCTCTAGAGTCACATATTGACCAGGAGCATGACCTTTAGGGACAGATAAGACATTGTTTGAGTTACTAGCTGTGAGGCATTAGGCAAGGCAGTTGATTTTCTGACTTTTGTTTGATGTCTGGGAAATGGGAGTAATGACCATGAGCCCTCTGAGGTAAGATGGCACTTAGATGTCATTGGACTTTGGAATTCAGGATCCCAGAGCAGCAGCAGCTGGGGGTGAGGGTAGAGAAGGAGGTCTCCAAGAAAAACACATTGCACAGCAGCCCCAGGAGAAAGATACTGGGGCCAGATGCAGAGAATGCACAGGCTTCTCTGGTAGAAGTGGCTGCTTGGAAGCCATCAGGGAAGAGTTGATTGTGGTTCCATGGTGGAATTCTCATCTTCTATGTGGGAGACCCAGGTTCAATTACTGGCCAATGAACCTGTCAGTGGAGGCTTGCATGTTGCTATGATGCTGAAACATGTTTCAGTGGAGCGTCTAGACTAAGATGAAACATGTTTCAGTAGAGCTTCTAGACTAAGATGAACAAGGAAGAAAGGCCTAGAGATCTATGTCCAAAAATCAGCCAGTGAAAACCCTATGCAACACAACAGTCCCATCGTGTTATACATAAGATCACCACAAGTCAGGGCCAACTCCATAGCTAATAACAGCAAGTAATCATGGACAAGCTGTTTCCAGGCTGAGAAACAGAGGTTGGAAGGGAGTGAAGGGAAACAATTGGGCCTCCATGACCCTTACAAACCCTCCAGGACTATCTGTCAGAGTGGACTCCACCACAAGGAAGCTGAGCATGATAAGGTCTATGGCCCCACTTGGGCTTAGTCCACCCTGGCATAAGTGTGGTTGGGCACAGGTGGCAGCCACAGTATGAAGAGGTCAGAGTGTTTAGGAGACTGTCAACTTGTGCAGTCCCTGCTCGTTATGGTATCTTCTCTGCTCTAACTTCAACCTTTTACTATTCAACTTGTCTCCCATCCCAGCAGCCCTCTGTCTACCTCATGTTCCCCTTCCCTGGTCTTCAGTTTTGTCTCCTTCCATTTTCTCAGAGCCTGGTGTCTGAGAAGTCATGCGTGCTCCACACCTCCACTCTCCCTCACCAAACCCCAGCAATCAGTCTTGCTACTATTGAATCTGCTCTGGCCAATATCACCAACAAAATTGCCAAAATAGCACCCACTCTCATCCTTGCCTAATAGGCTTCAGGGGCGCCTGGATGTCCTGCCTGTGCAACAGCACAACTCTCCGTGCCCATGGACAGCCTTGTTCCCTGTCAGACTGTGAATGCCAGATCCTTCCTCAAAGCTCAGATTTGTAGAACCTCTCCTCTCTCATGCTACTGCTGCCTGGCTACCAATATCCTGCATTGCACATGTGTGCCTGACTAGCAGCCCGCTCTTTAAGAGCCTTCAAACATCAATTCACCCCCACGTCTACAACACTTTGTAGGACCTGGAACAGGGCAGGAGCTCAGGAAATACTTGCTGGAAAAAGTGGCATGAGATAGGTTAATCGACTGTTAGAAAGAATTCAAGGTCACCCTCATGTTTGCAGAGAGGTTAATGTGGATATGCCATATTCCCACAGGGCCCAAGGGCCCGTGGAAGGAAAAGGGGCCTGAGAGCAGACTGCTTTTGAGGCTCCTCACCACCCCTACCACCCTAAGCCCTTAGCCTCTTCTGGACCACAGCTTAAGGGTGTGTGTATGTGGGAGGGAGTTGCCATATGCAGCAGAAGGGCATCCTTATATCTTTCTAACTTTGACAGGGACCTAAAGGATAGACCCCAATAAGACTCTTCATCCTTTTCCTATTCCCTCATCTTCTCTTGGCCCTCATTTGTTTGTTCCCAGTAAAACCTGCTCAGTCTTTTCTCTGGAAAGCAACAACCCAGGGTCAATGACTGAGAAAAATGCTGATGGCCTATAGGTGCCCACAGCCATTCTGAGGGTTGGAGGCCACACAACTTCAGATACTGAAATTTCCCTTCCTTCAAGTGAAGGGATGACCACACTTGGATCACAGCTAATGATCAACTGGGGGTGGGGGCGGCCCCAGTCTGCCTACCAGGGGAATGAAAAAATATGTTCCTTGCAGTATTGTTTATTTTGATGAAAAATGGAAAACAACTAAACACCTAACTATGTAAGATGAATAGCTATGCAGCCTTGAAAAGTGATGCTTACATAGGTTTATAATATAATGTTAAGGAGAGAAAAAGGCAAAAAGACAATATATTTGGTATAATTAATTCTATACAAAAAATGAAAAACTTTGAAAGGAAACACAGAAATGACTGGAATGATCAGGTTTCATTTTTCATTGATGGACGGATTCATTCATTCAGCATGCATTTATTGAATGCCTCCTGCATGGCAGCACTGTTCTTGGTGTTGCAGTGACAGCTGTGACACAGCAGTCCTGGGCTCTGTCAGGACAACAGTGAAGGTGGCCCAGCACATATGGTGTTACCAGTGGGCAAGTACAGCACTTGAGTGAAGCTCTGAAGACTGAAAAGGGGCTGCCCAAGGATCACAAAAAGATGGACTGTGCCTGGTAGAAGGAGAAGCTAGTGTGTAGACTTATGCAGTGAAGACCATGAGGGATGTTTGGGGAGCTGGGAGAATTGCAGGACTTCTGGAGGGAGCAGACCAGGGAACAAGAGCACAGGGTGAGAATTCAGGAGGAGGTGGGCAAAAGCCCAATGGGAGGGCCCTAGAATCCAGAATAAAGGAGCTGGCTGTTTTTATAGTTAGAAAGTTAAATAACTCATGAGGTTTTAAAGTATGCTTATTAAAAACTATGTAATAGGATGAAAAAAGAGCTTATAATATGGTATTGTTAGATATAAGGAAGCATTGTAGATAATAACAATTATCTACCAAATAAATAAACGAAATACATGGAATGAAATATACTAAAACAGGAGCACTATGATGACACTCATAGCCAGAATTTGGGATGACCTTTTTCCTTTTTCTGTTTTAAAACTATGCTGGTTTTATTTTCAAGTTTTCTTCTTTTATTAATAGACATAATCAATTTTAAATAAACAGTGCCAGGGTTCACCAGATCAACTTTGTTTCTCCCCTACTTGGTCTGTGTTTAGAATTCTGTAGACCTACTCCTCACATATTGATGCTCTCATTATCTAACATGTCATGTTTACAACTACAGTAGAAAACCTACTATCTGACTATTTTGCACATTAACAACATACATCTGGCAGTAATAAATGCCAAAGCATGAGGTAAGAGTAACACTGGCTGTGATGGCTAATGTAATGTGTCAACTTGGCTAGGCTACTCAGTGGTTTGGCAGTTATGTAACGATGTAATTTGGCAATTATGTAATCATATAGTCATTCTCCATTTTAGGATCTGATGTGGTCATCCTCCATTGTTGCATAATGCCAATTTTCACATTAACAACCTGGTCTTTGGAACCTAAGCATGTCAGTAAGTGCGGTGTGGGTTAATGGTATCCTCAAGAAGCCCTGGGAGTTAAATTGTTAAATATTTGACTGCTAAGCAAAAGGTTGCCAGTTCAAACCCACCCCGAAACCCAATTACTCCAAAGGAGAAAGACCTGGTGATGTGCTCCCACAAAGAATACCAAAATAAACCAAACTCACTGCCACTGAGTAGATTCTGACTCATAGCAACCCCCTGTGGGTTTCCGAGGTAATGAATCTTTACGAAAGTAGATTACCCAGTCTTCCTTCTATGGAGTGGCTGGTGAGTTTGAACCACCAACCTTCTGGTTAGCAGTCAAATGCCTTACGCTTTGCACCACCAGAACTCCTTCTCATAAAGAATATAGCTTAGAAAACCCTGTAGGGCAGTTTTACTCTTTCACATAGGTTCACTATGAGTTGAAATTGACTTGATGACACACAACAACAACAACAACATTCTTATGGCTTAGTGGACCTGTTTTGATTTCAGGGGATGCTACTTTCCCATCTGCTCTGGTAAATAACTGTTGGGTAAATTTCCCTCCTGTTGTCATTGTTACTACTTCTTGGGAAAGAGACATTCTATCCTCTCTCCCCAGAGTGGAATGTTATGGCTGGGGTTTCCTGGGAGCCAACAGGTTGGAAAGGCAGACCAGTGCCCTTCTTGCTAGCTGCACAATAGGTTGGAGGTTTGTCGTGGGGATTCTGGGTCTGTTTCACAATGCCCAGAAAGATCTCCTCTCCACTCAACCTAGGAGACTGGGATCTGAAACAACATGCCCCTGAGTTCCATAAACAAAAGGAGAGCTTTAGAAGAAGGGGAAGGGGAAATGCTCAAGCTCTCAGAACAGCTCAGCTTTTGAACAACATGTGGTTCATTTGATTTGTTCACTCAATATACATGCCTAAAGCACTTACTGTGTGCCAGGTTCCAGTTTACATAAGACTGGTGATTATCACACTGAGAGAATTCCAAATTGTTCAAAACAGTACGAGAATAGGGTGAAAGGGGAAGTGAATGGAAGCCAAATCCCAGCATGTCCTATAGGACTCATTTGGAATTTACAGCAGAAAGTCTGGCACATGAATGCCAGTCCTAGTGCATGCCAAAATGAAACCTCAGAGATGACTTGATCAGAAGCACTAGCCCCAGACTCGTCCATGACTGGATACAAAGGAACATGGTGATGAAATGCTGTGGGCAGAGCTTCCTTAATAACACAGTCAGTAATGCTCAATGGAGGGATACCCTTCTGTCTCCTCCCACTCCTGTCAAGACATGTAACCAGTAACATGTGACCAGGTCTTTGCAGG